ATTGATCAATACAAAATCTAGCTAGTCAATAAACTGCTTCTTGTTTATTATTTAATGAAATTGTACATTAATTGATTCTATAATTATTAATTTTGTTATAACACTTACTTTATACACTACTGAATACTCAATCAGGTTGCTATAGAATATCAGTACTGTATTGCTATAAAATTGTCACCACATTAAGTAAATACAAAGGAGATATTTATTAGTAGTAGTGTTACCTATTCTAATTTAATAGAATAGAAGAAATCGCACTGCGTCATGATCCTAAAAGCAACTGGATCAAATCATTGAAATACTGAAATAGATATTGGTTAAACATCCATCTCACGAGATTACCTACCTGAGCCCGGAACTCGTGACAACGCTTGGATGAATACTTCGAGATATCAAATCCTTTATGCTGTAGGTAATTTTTCAATTCTATTGCAGTAAGATACAAGTACATTTTGATCTCTTCCTGTAATTCATTTGGCATTTCAATGCAGAGGTTTGGACGTGGATGGAGATGTCCATGGTAAATATCTACTTTTGCAGTATTAAGAACCAAATCGACTTGCACTATAACTTTTCCTTTGCAATCGTAGCGTATTCGTCATTTTCAGTTGGAATCTTTATAATCTTCACATTGTGCCTCTTTTGACTGACAACAAGTATAATAAAACCTGCCAATTGTGTCTCCAAATTTTTTTGACATTTCCGCTTTTAGAAAGCTATAATAATAGTATCAAGTTAACAATAATTTAAGAAGTATCTTATAATAAGATGATACTTACTTCCACGAATAATCATCTCCACCTTTAATTTCAGCTACTATAAGATTAGCTATATCTTTTGCCATCTTGCTTTGAGTCATAGCAGCGTCTATATTTACTAGCAATTGAGTCTGGTAAGCCGCATTAGCTACTCCATCGATTTGTGATCCAATTGTCAGTTCTTGGATTTCATTTTCAACGAAGTCACCCACATCAAGATAGTCGACTTCAACGTGTATGTGTTCTGCTTCAGAGCATTCACCTGTAACTGTTCCATTATGCTCCTCCCTCTCAGATTCTTTGGATACTTTCTCTGTTATATGGGTGAGTGCATTAAGATCTTTATTCAAAACATTGGAAAAAGCTTCCAAATTCTTTTGTCAACTCAATTCATAATTAATTATTGGCTGTGTGATTCTATTTGGCATTTTATTCTCTTTACCCTTTGATTCACAGTTCTCTTTGCATTTTTTACATGTTTTATGACATTTGGCATCCCAAATAAATTGGTTGTTTGATCGTTTGGTTTTGCATTTATTGCAGAAATCCATTAGTCATGATTTTATTGATAATTGATAAGCAAATGTTTAAATATACAATTTTTTAACTCCTATTTTTGAAGATTTTTACGGTTTCGATCTATGAAAGGGTAACACGTCTTAGAAAAAAACACTACAAAAAGAAGAAAATACTTCGAAAAGGATATCATCCAGTAATACTTCCAGCGGTCCCATTTCCTGGAGCAATCTCTGTTATGCGTCTTGGATCACGTGCTTAGTTTGATATTTTGCGTAACTTGATCAAGAATGGGAAAGTGAAATGGCATTAAAGGAAAAGATATATTCGGTTTATTTAATACCATAATTTGAAATGTATTCTTTGAGTCTATAATTGGTGAAAAGCTATTATCGAGCATGCAATCAGTAAAAATTAGACTGGACAAGCAATGTGACGTTATCAGGGAATCATTTATAATGTTTACTGGATTATCTGAAGATTATCTGAAGACTATTCAAGTATATCTGTAGATATTCAGACTATTCAAGTGTATTTGTGAATATTCAGGTAAACTCTAATATTATTAGATTGATTGCTAGTTTTTTCACTAATAGAAGGTTACTATATTTATTCATTTGTGATCGATCATAGTCACATTCTATATAATGCATTAATCTTTACTTTTGCAACCTTTTCTTGGATTACTCAATTAACCTTATAAGCGATGTGCGCGGAATATGTGTATTTCGTGATATAATAATTTTTATTTTTTTTATGATTTTTGTATATATAATATAAATTCTACTAATTAATTACTTTTTTTCAATAAAGACTATCTATATTTAAATCTATCTTTTTTTATTGATTAATGATGAATCAATCAATATCTTGTGACATATGATTGTTTGCTAGAGTTTCTCTTTAAACTGCTAACGTGGTTAAAAATTGGTTTGTGAAAGAGATTAAAAGAATATAAAAAAGATTGATTTAAATCGCATTGATCTTCTACCTTAATAAATAAAAGATATAGGGTGAGAAGGGAGAACGTTCTTATGATTGTTAAAAGAACATACTCAAAAGTATAAATACCAGTTGGTCTCTTTCTAGCCAGAATTTAGGTAATTTTTTTCAACCAACAGTTAATCGGAATCATCTTTCTGATTCTTACTAAATTCCGGAAAAGATTACACAGTATAATGATCAGTTACCGCCAGGACCAGAATTAGTTCTGACTTGGACTTGGCCGTTGTCTAATTTTAAATAAACGCAGTGATACGGGTGTCTGAAAAAAAAGAGAGACGCGATTAGGTTGCAGAAACTTCCAGTTATGTATTGCATTACATATTGCTTGGTTGCAGGGGGGAGGATGGATGCGAGAGTGATTGACTCGACAAAAGATGAATAATTTAAAAGGATTATACTTCTCCTTTGCATTTTCCTCAATTTCAAATATCATCTTTTTTGCTTTCTGATTAATATCAACCAAAACTACATGTCCTCCCGTTATATATTATTCGAATTTTTCTTTTATCCGTTCTTTGCTAATTTCAAATATACCCACATGTTTGTTTGAAAGCGACAAAAAGAAATCTTTAATTTCTGAAAAAAGCAAGTTCAGTTTGAGTGGCTGGTTTTTGGTTTCCTTCTTGGATTTTTAACTCTATTAGAAACATATTTTGCTCTTGACAAACACTTATTTTTGGATTGGCTTCTTGTAAGACTAATTCTAATTGATAATTAATGCTTTGCCTTAATTTGTTCTCTGATTATCACTTTACTTCTGTGTCACAAAATCTTTGATCGTTACGATTGTGGGTCGGAGAAGCCAGAGATGATCAGCAATATCACATGACCTGAAAAAGTGAGAGTTATCCTGGTGGATTCTATTATAACTGGTTTTGGATGAACTTTATATCAAGAGTTTAATTATTACTTGTATTTTATTATAAGAAATTGTCAATAATTCTGGCCAAATGATCACATGATCTGCACAATTTTGGCCAAAATTTTCACCATAATCCGTTTCATCATGATCCCCATCATATTTTATTGGGCAATCCATATCATAATATTATTGGATATTAAATAGTATAATGTTATTGGACAATAGCTATAACCGGTAGATATAAATAGGGGTTCCTTAAAGCAAGGCAAGCCGTTTAGCTGGCTTAGCCACAACACGCCACATCTGATCGGTAGCACATGATTG